GGTCAGCCCCACCACTCCGGCACGCTTCTTTTTAAAACAGAAACTCCTCATATTTGTATTTTTATATCCGAATCTTTGTTAAAAACGATCTGCTGACGTTGAGATGTCAAAGTAACTGCATCGAGAAAACAAACGAAAACAACCAACCAACCAACCAACCAACAAAAAAAAAAAGGTTCATATTTTTTTCCATAAGAAAAAAAAAGACAAAAAAAGAAGAAAAAAACGAGGGCAAAAATTAAAGGGGGGGCGAGAGTGATGGAGGGAGCATGAGGAAAGCCACAGGAGGAGGGAGGGGAGCAGGGACCCCTGGCCCGACCCCCGCTGGCAGGCAGCAGGAGCACCGGCGGGTTTCGCAGCAGCACCAGCCGCTGCAGTTCCTTCCCGGCAGCACCGGGGCAGAGCCCATCGGGGCCGGCTGCAGGTGCCAGGGGGGGTCCCAGCACTGCCCCTCGCTTGAGGGTGCTGGGGTCAGGGGAGAGCGGGGAGGGCAGGGACCGGCCTGAGTCGTTGTTTTTAATTTTATACTTTAATTTAATTTTATTTTTTAAGAAGCTTCTCGGGGGGTTCTGATGTGCATGAGAAACTTGTCATCTTTTTCAATAACCTACGAGTGGCATTTATGGAGACAACGACGCAAAAAAAAAAAAAAACCACAACAAAAAAACCAAACAAAAAACTGAGGAAAAAAGAAAAAAAAAAAAGAAAAAAAAAGATACTTGTGTCATGATGTTCTACGAATGATCCATTGTAAATTTAAATGCCATTTTTCACTGTACTGGTGAACAAAATGCAATGAATAAAATACATTCATGTACCCAGGTGAAGCCGGCAGTCGCCTGCTCCTTTCTGTCCCTTCCTCTGCCAGCTGGTTTTTGGGGTGTCTGTGGGATGGGGTGGCATGGCCAGGTGGGGGCTGACCCTGGAGCCCTTGGCTGGCTCCTGGTGCAGGGGAGCCGCTGGCTGACCCACTTACACCTTCTGCCTGAGAGAGCAGCCCAGCAGCTCGGCCTCTGTGCTGTCACTGCCCAGGAGGGTCCCTTTAGCCCACCCAGGGGGAGTTGCTGCCCAGAGAGCCTCTGGGGACACTGCCAGTGGCACCCATGCACCTGCCCCAGCAGCACACACACGGTGGCTCACCCATCACCCACCCTGGCACACACGTGTCACCGTGCTGCTGGCCCCAGGCACAGGGGGACACGGACTAGGCGTGTGCAGCACACTGGAACTGTCAGCACAAGCAGAAGTGGGGATGGATGGGGAAAGAAGCAGATATGCTGCCCTTCCTGTCCTGTGGCACCGCCTGCCCCATGCTGGCACATTGCAGGCTGGATCCCCCAGTACTTGGAGGGGGTGACAAGGACACGGTGCCCTTGCACACCCCCAGGCCCAGTGTGGGGGATGGAGCAGTGGGCACCCCCAATCCTGCCCCCCATAGCCAGTGCCAGCACCCCCATTCTGCCCTGAGCCTGGCTGTCCGTGCCAAGGGGAAGGGATGGGGGACAGGGAGCCACTCCCTGCAAGACGGATGGGTGAAATTAAACCCGATTTGGTTTCATTACTGGCTGCAAAGCCTGGAGCCCTGGCTGCTCTCCAGCTCAGCAAGGAAAGGCCAGGGAGGGGGCACAGAATCACCAGAGCATCCCTGTGCCCCCCGGAGGAGGCCAAGCATCCCCCTCTTGCCCCCCATCACCCACACCACTGGGCAGCTCGCAGGGGGATGCACCGGTTCCCTGTCTCCCACCTGTGAGGATGGAGCACCTTAAGGTTTTGCTGGGACCTGGGTGAGCCCCGGGTCAGAGCTGGATGGCGAGCAGATAGTCCTCATCATCGTCCGGGGGGGCGGGGGGCGGCGGCGGGGCGGGGCCCGAGGGGGGCTGGTGCAGGCGGCGCCCCAGGGCCACATCCCGGGGCTCCAGGGGCTGCCCCTTGCGCATCACATACAGGAAATAGTGGAAGGCTCCGGCGTCGCCGTCCCCGCAGGCAGCGTGGCGCAGGGACCAGCCAAAGGCCTCCTGGGCGTAGTGGGGCTTGCGGAAGTGGGGCTGGGCGAAGGTGATGGAGATGAAGCAGCCCCCTGGGCGCAGCACCCGGCTCACCTGTGGCAGGAAAAGCCCCGGGATGGGGTGGGGGAACACAGTGAGGGTCACTGCTTTGGCTCTGTTCTCAGGGACCCCATCATCATCTGCCAAAGACCCCTCCCAGCCTTTCCCATCACACCCCCTAAACCTGTTGTCCTAACCTTGACCCCCCAAGAGACACCCCGGGTCTGACCTGTCCCCAGACCACCCACATGGAACAGGGGTCTCCATGCTCCATCTCTCCCTGCACCCCAAAACTCTTCACTCCCACCCACAGCAGACAGCATAGAAACCCAACCCTGGCATGGGAAAAGCTTCATGCTTTCAAGCACAGGGCGCCCCTAAACTCAGCACGGGACACCCATCCCACCCACCCCTGCCCAGACCACCCAGCACTACCACCAACACCCAGAATCAGAGGGGGGTGTTTGATGGGAAAGGACTCAGCCCTTTTAATCACCATTTTCTCCCTGCTGGAATTAAGCCCCGCTAACAGGATGGAAAAGAACATCAATTTTCCTGCTTGGCTTTATCCAATGTCAAAAGGCTTTTACGGCCAGCGTCCGCGTGCTCAGCATGCAAAGGCACTGCCCGGGGCGGGCGGGCGTCCAGCCCCCTCCCCGCACCCTGCCCCAGGCAGGGACACCCCCAGACCCCTCCCCCGGCAAGGGCAGAGAGTCCCCGCTGCAGGGGACAGGGCTGGAGGCCAACTGGGGGGTTTCCCAAGCTTTGCTTTAATCCCGCTGGGAAGCTCCAGCTGGGGAGCTCTGGCTGGGGCCAGTGGAGGGGACAGGCAGCCTGCGTGTCCTCCCCTGCTGCGGCGGTGGCTTTTGAACCAAACCCCACCGGTTTTGGCCAGGAAAATGGGAAGGCAAGTCCCTACATCCCTCTCTGGGCACCTGGCTCAGTATCCCTCCCTGCTAAGTGCCTGAAAATCTGCCCTGGGAAGACCCCAGAGCTTCCCAAGCGATGGGCGGGGAGGGGGGTCCCCGGAGGTGGGGGCAGGCAGGGATCTCCGGCTGGAACTGAGCGAGGCATCCCGCATGTCCACATCCATCCCTCGTTAATAGAGCAATAATGGCCGTTGCTTGGAGACGAGCACAGGAAACCTTCCCATCCGTCAGCGGGAGCAGGGGGGCCGAGGGGCCGCTCCCGCCACACCCGCTGTCCCCAGCAAGCTGGGACAGGGCATCCCTGTGGTGTCCCCACATGCAGGATGGATTTCCAGTTCTTACATCCCCCAGGGAGAGGAAGACAGAGGCTGTGAACCCCCCAGTGAAGGGAGATGGGGGTGGGAAGGGAGGTACCACGGACAGACCCCTCTGAAGGGATCTCCAAAACAGGGAGCAAGTGGGAACACCCAGCGAGTCCCCCTGGGGATGAGGACAGCAGGGACAGGCTGAGGGTGGAAGCTGGTACCCAGCGATGCTGGGGGAGGGCAGGGATTGAGCAGAGGATTAAAAAGGGAAAAAAAGAAAGGGAAAATTAAATCCCTGCCGTTTGGCAAAATGACAAGGACAGGCAGCAGCGCTGGCAAGGAGGGCAGAGCATGGATAGCGAGCACAGCCCCACTGCCCTGCCGGGGGTTGAGCTCCCTCCCAGGCTCAGCCAGGCAAGAGGAGATTGGGAGGGCTGTCAACAGCCACGAGCACCCTCCCAGCACCCTGTGCCTGCAACCCCAGGGTGCCAGGGAGGTGCAGCAATTAATTATCCTGGCAGTTATTCCCGCAGGGTGGGAGAGGCTGCCAGGACCCGCACCCCCGCGCC